CGGGAACAGCAAGAGCTCTGTGCACTGAGGCTTGCTGGGAGCCTCACTGGCCTGTTCTTTGTAATCCCATAACTGTGTGTGTTTCACCTTCCCCTGCCCCCAGATATTGCAGCCATACATTTGTACTTCTGGATCTAAGTGAAGACCATCCACTTATCTTTTTTGTTTTGCACATTCACTGTTTATTTCATTTCTAGAAAACTTTTCTCTCTGAGTAAATTTTATTTGTAGATTTTTCTTCTTCAGTGACATCAGTTTGATCCCATCTCTACAAAAAATACAAAAATTAGCATCGTGGTGCATGCCTATAGTTGGTAGCCTGAGGTGGGAGGATCAGTCAAGCCTGGGAGGTTGAGGCTGCAGTGAGCTGTGATCATGCTATTGCACTGCAGCCTGGGTGACAGAGAGAGACCCTGTCTCAAAGAAAGAAAAAAAAAAGATCTCTGTTTGAAGTTCATAAACTAGAGACTATTTTTTTTTTGGCATCTTATTCCTAATAATTTCAATGGAAACAATAGGTAATAATTTATATTTCAATAAATCTCATTTCCTGTTGATTTTCCTTATGATATCTAAAATGGAATCTTAGGGGAATCACCTTGTATTATTCCATTTACACACTGCTGTAAAGAACTACCTGAGACTGGGTAATTTAGAAAGAAAAGAGGTTTAATTGACTCACAGTTCCACATGGCTGGGGAGGCCTCAGGAAACTTATAATCATGTCAGGAAGCAAGAGGAAAGCAAGGCATATCTTAACATGGTGGCAGGAGAGAGAGAGAACAGGGAGGTGCCACGCACTTTTAAATGATCAGATCTTGTGAGAACTCACTATCACGAGAACAGCAAGGAGGAAATCCGCTTCCATGATCCAGTCATGTCCCACCAGGTCCCTCCCCTGAAGTGTGGGGATTACAGTTTGACATGAAATTTGGGTGGGGACACAGAGACAAACCACATCATTCTGCTCTTGGCTTCTCCCAAATGTAATGTCCTTCTCACATGTCAAAACCAGTCATGCCTTCCCAACAATTCCCCAAAATCTTATTCCAGCATTAACTCAAAAGTCAAGTCCAAAGTCTCATCTGAGACAAGGTAAGTCCCTTCTGCCTATGAGCCTGTAATATCAAAAACAAGTTAGTTACTTTCAAGATACAATGGAGGTGCAGGCATTGGGTAAATGCACCCATAACAAAAGGGAAAAATTGGCCAAAACGAAGGGCTACAGTCTGAAACCCAGCAGGGCAGTCATTAAATCTTAAAGTTCCAGAATAATCCCTTTACATGCCATGTCTCATATCCAGGGCATGCTGATGCAAGAGGTAGGCTTCCAAGGCATTGGGCATCTCCATGGACCTTGTGGCTCTGCAGGGTACAGCCCCGTTCGGCTTCTTTCACAGGCTGGCATTCAGTGCCTGTGGCTTCTTCAGATGCGTGGTGCAAGTTGTTGGTGGATCTACCATTCTGGGATCTGGAGGACAGTGGCCCTCTTCTCACAGCTCCACTAGGCAGTATTCCAGTGGGGACTCTGTGTGGGGGCTGCAACCCCACATTTCCCCTTCATGCTGCCCTAGCAGAGGTTCTTCTTGAGGGCTCTACCCTTGCAGCAGATTTCTGCCTGGACGTCCAGGCATTTCCATACCTCCTCTGAAATTGAGGCAGAGGCTCCCAAACTCCTGCCTTCTGTGTACCTGCAGGCCCAATACCATGTAGAAGCCACCAAGACTTGGGCTTTGCACCCTCTGAAGTCATGGCTGGAGGTATACCTTGGCTCCATTTAGCCACTGCTGGAGGTGGAGTGGCTGGGACACAGGGCACCATGTCCAGAGGTGCACAGTGAAGCAGGACCCTGGGCCTGGCTGAGGAAACCATTTTTCCCTCCTAGGCCTCTGGACCTGTGATGGGAGGGGCTGCCTTGAAGGTCTCTGAAATGCCCTGGAGATATTTTCCCCATTGTCTTGGCAATTAACATTGGCTCTTCTTTACTTATGCAAATTTCTGCAGCTGGCAGCTTGAATTTATTCCCAGAAAGGGTTTCTTTTCTACCATTTGGAGGGTCAGACTTCTAATTTTCAAACTTGTATGCTTTGCTTGCCTTTTAAACATAAGTTCTAATTTCAGATCATCTCTTCGTGAACACATATGACTGTATGCTGTTAGGACCACCCAGGCCACATGTTGAACCCTTTGCTCCTTAGAAATTTCTTCTGCCAGATATCCTAAATCATCTCCCTCAAGTTCAAGGTTTCACATATCTCTAGGGCAGGGGCAAAATGCCACAGTCTCTCTGCTAAGGCAAAGCAAGAGTGACCTTTACTCCAATTTCCAGTAAGTTCCTAATCTCCATTTGAGACTACGTCATCCTGGACTTCATTGTCCATATCACTGTCAGCATTTTGGTCAAAACCATTCAACGAGTCTCTAAAGTTCCAAACATTCCCACATCTCCCTGTCTTCTTCTGGACCCTCCAAACTATTCCAACCTCTGCCCATTACCCAATTCCAAAGATACTTCCATATTTTCAGGTATCTTTATAGCAGTAGCCCAATTCTCTGGTACCAATTCTCTGCGTTAGTCTGTTTTCACACTGCTATAAAGAACGACCCGAGACTACGTAATTTATAAAGAAAAGAGGTTTCGTTGACTCAGTTCTGTATGGCTGGGGAGGCCTCAGGAAACTTACAGTCATGGCAGAAATGGAAGCAAGGCACATCTTATGTGGCAGCAAAGCAAAGCATATCTTACATGGCGGCAGGACAGAGAGAAAGGGGAGGTGCCACACACTTTTAAATGATCCGATCTCATGAGAACTCACTATCATGAGAACACCAAGAGGAAAATCTGCCCCGATGATCCAGTCATCTCCCACCGGGTCCCTCCCCTGACACATGGGGATTACAGTTTGACACGAGACTTGTGTGGGGACACAGAGTCACACCATATCACACCTTTAGGACATGCGGGTGGTGTGTGGAGCAAATAGCATCTGAAGGTAGTGATGACAGATTAAGGGAAGGGGTGGGCAGTCCATGGAGGGGTGAGGCACAGGCTTGTGCCTAGTGGTGTTGGGACAGGGCAGGCCTGGGAATGGTGAACGTAACAACTTGGCAGTGAGACATCAGCTCAAGCCCCAGCTTTGCTTCCTGGCCATTTGCGTGAGCCAAGTTCCCCAAGGTCATGAAGCTTCACTGTGTCTGTCCCATGGGGCACTGCTCAGAGTGAGGGATGTGGTAGGTGGGCATTGCACGCACGGTGCTGGGCACATAGTGACTGCACCTGGTCCTTCCTCTAGAGTCCAGACGGGTCAGCCTCTAGAATTACGTTCTTGAGACTTCTTGATAGGATCCTGCCACGTGCTCTGTCATGCCATGGGCCCTGAGCATCAGACGTAATCCTTTACCTGATGTACATGCAAGTGTGCCAAAGCTGTCAGCACGACATGGGTTGTGTGATAGGTTTTTGTGCAGTGTGTGATGTGGAAAGCTGATACCTGATGCCAACGTTTTTGTTGTGATGGTTTCTTTGGCATGGGTACTGCTGTCATGCTCCTATCTCAGGACCTAATTCATAAACAGCTCTCCAGTCATAGCTGTTGGAGGGCCTGTCCCCCTGTCTACAGATGCAGACCTCTGCCCAGACAGGGAGTTGAGGGTCTGGCCTATGGGAATAAAAGTGGGACCCCTTAGTCGCTGGTTAGTTTTCAGGGTCATCTCTGCCCTTTGCCCCTTGAGGCTGTGTTACACCCTGGAGACCCCCAGGCATTGCACCTGGCAATCACTGGGTTACCTCGAATGGTTGATTGAATTGTATTCATTATCTTTGTCTCAGATCAGTGTCATCCTGCAGCCTCATTTCAGCTTTCAGGATTGCTTTATTTTTGTATTATATTTTTAACAATGCAAAGTATTCAAAAGCTAGCTCTACCCTGTGAGAGACCCTTCCCAGCCCTAGCAATGTGATGATAAACCCTGGGAAATGTTAATCAGTGAATATGAAGGGCCCTCGACACACGCCAGGTTGTCAGATATTTTTCTCCATTCTTTCTTCTTAGTAATGGATTTCATTGTATCCAATATGCCATTAATTGTAAGATACCTTGATTTCAGAAATGAAAAAATTGTACAAAATCATTTGTTTACAGTCAACAAAATTATTTCTTCTCAGAAATCTACACTTGTAGAGGTTAGGGCAAAGGTCATTGTCTCCATGGAGGTGCTGACGCTTAAAGGTAGTGGCAGAGTTGTTCCAGGGGACCTTGGAGAAGCCCCCCTTCTAGGGGACCTCGTAACAGCCTTCTCAAAGGTCAATCTCCTACGTGTTTTTGTTGTTGTTGCTGTTGTTTGTTTTTTGAGATGGGGTCTTGCTCTGTTGCCCAGGCTGGAGTGCAGTAGTGAGATCACAGTTCTCTGCAGCCTTGACCTCCTGGGGCTCAAGTGAGCCTCACACCTCAACTTCCTGAGTATCTGAAACTACAGGTTTGCACCACCATACTTGGCTAAGTTTTTGTATTTTTATAGAGACGGGGGTGGGGGGTGTCTCACTTTGTTCCCCAGGCTGGTCTTGAACTCCTGGGCTCAAGTAATCCTCCTGCCTTGGCCTCCTAAAGTGCTGGGATTTCAGGTATAAGCCACCATGCCCAGCCCAATCTCCCAAGTTTTAAGAAGACCTAATTCTTAATTGTGAGGGAAGCTTCATCTGATTTTAAGCATCATTTTCATAAGCTATTTAGGCAAAGTATAATTATTGACTAGTCTTTTACTAAATTTAGATTACTCAGCATCACTGATAAGCTGTTAAGCTGTTATGACCATAATACCAAAACAGCTGAGATGACTAGTAGCTAATGGGAGAAAACTGTGTATACACAGGTATGGAAACCTAAGATGTAAGTTCTGCCAATTCTTTTTTCTAAATTTCAACTCCATGGTTATTGGAGTAGAAAGCAGAGTTCTATTGATTCATGACATCACATTTGACATTTTTCTTAACCTTTTATTAGGTTCAGGGAGCAAGTTTCCGAGGTTGGAAAGAAGTGACTTCACTGTTTAATAAAGATGATGAGCAGCATCTCCTGGAAAGATGTAAATCTCCCAAGTCCAAAGGGTAAGTCACAATTGTGTAAGAAAATGATCATTTCAGGAGAGGGAGGAAGTCACTGAGGAGGTAGAAATGAAAACTTGATGGCATAAATACAGTGTAACTGGACACGCTGTGGGGCGTGGCACGTCCCTGTTTCCCTCCCCACTCCGTCTGTCCCTGTTGAGTGGCAGATGGTCATGGACTTCGTGATGTGTGCTTTGGAGTTAACATCCCCCTTGTGAATAAACAGAAAATGGGCTGGGCACGGTGGCTCATGCCTGTAATCGCAGCACTTTGGGAGGCCAGTGCAGGCAGATCATAGGGTCAGGAGTTCGAGACCAGCCTGGCCAACATGGTGAAACCCCGTCTCTACTAAAAAAAAAACCAAAAAACAGAAATTAGCTGGGCATGGTGGCATATGCCTATAATCCCAGCTACTTGGGAGGCTGAGGTGGGAGAATTGCTTGAACCTCTGGGAGGCAGAGGCAACAGAGCAAGACTCTGTCTCACCCTCATGACCTTTTATCCAGAAATGAGTTGCGTTGTTCGATGAAAAACAAACTATACTTTGGATAAAAGGTCATGAGGGTCTCTGTTGGCATTTTGAAAGGTTATGGAAACATGGAAAATAACTTAGAATTATAAATTGAACTTATTAGCCTTAAAGCAGCCTGATTTAAGATTTTTAGTAGTTTACACTACTAAGATTTTTAGTAGTTTCAGAAAAAAGCCAAATCAAAACAACAACAACAAAAAACGACTGTTAAAAATGCAAAGGATTGACTGGTAAACTATAAAAGATTTTAGAAAATTTAATAAATTTAAACTGACCTTGCGAATTTATCATTAGTGTTTCAGAATTTTAAAAGTGTAAAGTTGAAAATATAAGTTCAGTGACTACCCAATGATATTACCAATGGCATATTTACTCTGTGTTATGGAAAGTTGTTTGATTAGAAGATGAATCCTGGTGAGTCAACAAGTACAGAGTTTGCTTTTGTTTGAGGACTGTTGGCCCCCAGTCTGCTTCCTTGCAGTTTTGTGCACTGAGGACAGACACGTGGCCTGGCGTGCTCTGGTGGAGCTGTGACTTCACCAATCCTCATCTGTAGAAGACGGGTAAACTGGTTCACCTGCTGATGAACCAGTCAGGTGACCTGCTAATACATCAGCATCTGGAAGGAGAGGGCCTGGGCACTGGTGTTCTTACAGATGTCCCCAGGTGATGCTCACGGACAGTCAGGGTGAAGAGTAGTTGAAGATCTTTCTTCAGTAGCTGTCGCTCACTACCATTTCCTTTTTATAGTAGATGGTGTTCTGAATTTTCATTTTTGTTGAGTAAATTACCTACTAAATGCTTGACACAACCTTGCTATATTAATAATCCAATTGCAAACCTATTTGAAAAATTGAATAGATTTCCCTCCTTGTTTCTTAATCTAGACCCTGGATTCTCATAGATCTGATTTGCTCAAAATCTTGAGTACTACCTTCCTATTGCCTTGAGGATCTCTCTTGTGTAATACTACTTATTTCTTGTCAGAACTAGTTATTTGCTTATATATTGCCAAGTGGTGTCCTAAAATATGGCTTTTACACACTTCATTAACAACATGTAGTGACTGATTTTTCCTTAACTTTAATATTTGAAACTTTTCATATAGACTTGTGTTAGTTTTCTAAACATTTTTTTTAAATTTTAAAGAATTTTATGTTTGTAAAATGGATACAGCTTGAGGCCCTAAGACCACTGGGTCACCAACACCTAACTCTTTCATCTCCTATAGAACTAACTTACGATTAAAAGAAGAGTTGAAGGCAGAGAAGAAATCTGGATTTTGGGACAATTTGGTTTTAAAACAGAATATACAGTCTAAAAAACCAGATGAAATTGAAGGTTGGGAGCCTCCAAAACTTGCTCTTGAAGACATATCGGCTGACCCTGAGGACACCATGGGTGGCCACCCATCCTGGTCAGGCTGGGAGGATGACGCCAAGGGCTCGACCAAGTATACCAGCCTGGCCAGCTCTGCAAACAGCTCCAGGTGGAGCCTGCGCTCGGCAGGGAGGCTGGTGAGCATCCGACGGCAGAGTAAAGGCCACCTGACGGACAGCCCGGAGGAGGTGGAGTGAGGGGGCTGCGTGGCAAGTGTGCCCCGACGTGGTGGCCTTTTATTAGTATACCATGTAGTTGTTGAGTCTTTTCTGTTAGAAGGAATAGAGTCTACTTTTTGCCTATATTTCATATTTGGACCTCTGTTTCATTGTTTAATGAACTCTCTCTCACACACACTGTGACTCCTTGGTGAACACGTGCAGGGATTGTACATTTGATTGCCTTATTGCAGAAATACCCATCAGTCCATGTTTTGCAGAAACTGGAGATGTGAATTTTTGATGCTGTCCCATAATACAGCAGTAATGATTTGCAGGTTGCCACAAATCATCTTCATGCTGCTCTCTCGTCGTTCTGTTTCAGAACTTCTATCCCTTTTTCTTGTATGTAGCACATACAAATGCAGCAGTCATGCAGTTCTTTTCTTTTGCCAGAAAATTACAGTCAGGAGGTAAGATGAATCTTCCAAAGTTAGGTTAAATTTTGTTTAACTTGACAAATTCAACTTTGTTCTTATTAAACAAATATTTAAACAAATACTGGAAAGGCAAAGGTTATATTTGGGTGTAAAATGTCAGTATCTTAAAATGCATGTTCATCTTTTGCTGAGGGAGGAATAGCCTCTTGTGTGTGCACTGGATAGTAACCATGGTTCTTTTTTGGAATTTTATTTTTACCTCTTTTGAACTTCTAAATCGGTTCCTTTATTTTCTTAAAACATTTGCTCTCTCTTTTGTTTACAGATTAAAGAAGTATGATGATAATTTTATTTAGGAAACATTGTCTTGCTCATTATAGAGTGAAGACTGTGCATAAAATACTGAAGTGCCTCTTTTTTATTAGGCTCATATGTTTGTTCTTGCAAAGCGAGATGCCGATTGTGATCGGTGTTAGATCTGTAAGAAGCTGTGTCTTCTCCACAAGAACTGACGGCCAGTTTGAGAGCATCTCGGTCGTTCTTTTTCTGTCTGCTTTACTGTCCTTGACAATGTGATCCTGCACAGTATCAGGTGCCAGTTATGTGTCCCTGGCAGGTCGGCGCTTATTAGCAAGTCCTGCAGATATCTATCTTAGGTAAAAGTGGTTTGAAAGAAAAGGTATATTTTTCTTTTTTGTTTAAAAGCAAAATAAAACCTCCAGTTACACTGTGCATTCCCCTCACGTACAAACAAGACAAAAACCCTTTCCTGAGTTGCTCGGCATGCACTTGTGTGCTGTTTCATGCGTGTGGATGTTCCTTCCACTTGTTCCTGTGGAATAACTGAGTGTGCCTGATGGCAGAACACACTGCAGTGTTACCAGCGTCTGCATGTTTTTTAATAGAACAGGTTTACTTGATCTGTCATCTGTTATGGAAAAAACAGCAATTACTTTTGCATCAACCTAATACATCCATTCATCTAGCTAAATCTATAATCTGTATCAATCGCTTATACCTATCAATCATCTGTATCTATTCACCTACCCTCTGTCTGTCATCTCTCAGTCTGCATCCATCTAACCTTCTGTCAATCATCTACTTTTTTTAATAGAATAAGAATTTTACTTATCAAGTCTTGAAAGGGGGACATGCTTCAAGTGGTGTTCAAACAAAAATTCCAGTTTGTATTAGAACCTTGAAATGGTGAAGTTGTGGAGGTTTTCTTTGTTCCATAATACAGAGACAAGTTCATAATTTTTAGTATAACAGTTAAGTTGACAAATTCTAAGTTTCCTCAGGTAAACAGTCATAACTGTCTTTCTCCCTAGAGAAGTGCTTGCTGGGAGAGTAAAAACATTCACCATTTCATGACTTCTGCAAATACTTTCAAGCGGAAGTCAGTGTAGGCTTGTTTTTGGCTAACATGGTCTTGCTGCGCAGGAATGTAAACGCTGTGTTTGAAACTCTGGAAATCACACGTGTGTGGGGAGATGGGGATGCTGCCCACGTAGTGGGGAGCTCTGGTGTGATGGCAGCGGTTGCTGTGCCTCTGTTGGAACGCTAAGTGCCTGCAACTCACGTCAATCATAGAATTGTGACGCACAGTTGGCAAAATAGTTCTTTATGCTATTTCTCAAAATTTGAGGACAAACCCAGATTGGGATTGGAATGTACACTGTAAATCAAATTTTTCTTATCTACAAAGACTAATGTAAAAATGATTTTTTCTTCTGTGCCTGATTAACTGTGGTTTTTAATATAAATATTTATTGGTGTGCTTTGGGAGAAAAAAATATCTTTTCTTGAAAGAACTTACCAAAGCAAATTTGTTATCTTCACAAGTTAATAGGAGAATGTGGTTTTTATGCTGGGTGTTTGAATTGTGTAAACACACAGCTTCCCTGTGTGGAGACAGTTGTCCTGTGCTCCTTCTACTGTACTTTTTAAATTTTTTAATAGGAAAGTGATGGGCTTCAGAGAAGGGTTCCTCCTTAGTGTTGAGGCTTTTTAAAAATAAAAATATTGTTTCTAAGCTCTTTCATTATTGGTTTGCATGATTATTGGCATCTGCTTACGATGGCTTTAATCACTCAGAGCTAATGGCACCTTTCCTATTTAGCCTCATTTTAGAATGCAGTAAACACATGTGGACTTTTCACGAATAAATGAGCAACTTCAACCTTGGTTTTCAAGATGTGTCTTTTGCGTATTTGAATGGCCTGTGTGTGACTGAGTCCTCGGTGCAGGGCCCTCCACTCCGGAGGGCAACAGTGTGGCTGGGCACCCCGGCTGCTGTTTTTGGTTCTTTATTTCATGAGTTCTGTCCTTAAGCAAGATTTTACTCCTTCAAGTGGAGAAACATGAACATAGTAGCAACAATTCATTTCTATTTATCTTTAAGAAAATGACCATCTCTTAGAAAGAAGTCTTTTAGAAAGCAGCGGCCTGTTCTAGAGAACGCTGCTCACTTCCCGTGGGAGCGGGACCCTGGAGCCTGCAGTGCCTTTGAGGCTGTTTTTGGGGTGCAGATGCTTTGCAGGGAGGCGCAGGGCCATGTGGGATCCCTCTTCTCAGACCTGCATCCTGAGCAGGTGGACTCCCTGGCCTTCCTCGCTGACCGCATGGGTGAGTGTGGCCTGCACTGTCACCTACTCCGCCCTCGCCGGGGAGCATGGATGGCATGGGTGCCCACTCTGCCCCCCCCAGCCTTGCCTGGTGCCCTCAGAGCCTAAGCCTGAGCTTCTCACCCACACCTGCCATGTAATTCCGATCGTCCTCTGGCTGTCTCACAGGTGAGGGAACCGTTCTGCCCTCTCTTACTCTCCCAGTTCAGTTTTAGCCATGAATGCGCTTTGAGTTTTTTTGGTCATTCTTCAGTTGATATTTGCTTGATCAACCAAAAGACCAGCCAGCAGGGCACACTTGAGTCAGCTCTGAAGAGATCAGTTGGCTAAGATGATTTTTCCAGATCAACATTAACTTGATCATTTTCAAAAAACAACAACAAAGAAAACCTCAACTGCAGAGTGCACTCTAGTCTGGGTGACAGAGTGAGGCCCTGTAAAAACAAAACAAAAAAATGCTCGGAGTAGTCCAAAGGTTGTTTAAACAGTGCTGAATGACTGAGATAGCTTGCTGCTGCTGTTTTTTTCCTTATGGTAAAAAACCAGTTTTAGCCCAGCTGATGAGGTAGGAATGCACTGTGAGCGGCCTCGGCCTCAGCGGAAACGGAGTGGCCGTCCTCATCCAGGTGCTGTGTTGCTTGGTAGAAGTGTCTCTGCCTGGGGCTGCGACTTGCGACGTGAACTCTCTGACCCAGCACCCGCCAGAACCAACATCTGGGGATTTAAACTGCAGCAACAAGTGATTCCCCTCTTGGCCTGTGGTTCTGTCATCCCAAAATTGTTCATAATGGTGGATATGAGACATCAAAACGAGGGCTGAATCAGATGAAATTATGCTCAATTCAGCCTCAGATTTAAGTGATTTATTGTTTTCTAGTTCTTCATACCTACTAGAGCTGCTGTGGTGGCTTTGTCAGTGGTTGGCAGTGGCCGCCAGCCCTCACCCTGCCACTGGGGCCTTGTGCATTGACATCTGGTTGTTGCTGGCAGCCCTGAGGGGCACAGGGGCAGGCCACCGCCACCACCTCTCACTGGCCACTGGGCTCAGGACTGCTCTGCTGTTAGGGAAGCTGCAAGTCCAGCCAGTTGACTGCACCTATTTAAGGAAAAGCACTACTCTGTTACCTGAGAACCTTTGAGATTCCTACTGTGAAGGAAGAATCACATGGAAATGAAAACTTAAGCTTTTAGCTAATAACAGAAAAGTGAACTAGCTTTTGGCAGTTGTCCAAAAGTGTAAAATTCTACCGAAAGAAGACAGCTCAGTACTTCAAACATTGGAGCTGTGTTATTTGGTAACCAAGCAGTCTCTGCAGTGCCCGGCAGTGCCCTGAGGCTGCTCAGTGTGGCCCTTTCACTGAGGCCTTGGCCCGCAGCACCAGCCCTGAGAAGGGGTCCCGGCTGCTGACTTTAGGCTCTTTTCTGTTTATAAAGTCAGAGTGTTCCCAGAAGGCTTTGAGGAGAAAATAGTGAAGCTTGAAGGATATTGGTGAATCTGTGAAACACTGAATACTTCCTAATCTTAGATTAGGTTTTCTGCATCTTAGTCTTGAATAGCTATAACCAAAGGCTCTTGTCTGTTTAAACACTTTAATTATAAAGAGCTAACGGCAGGAGGCACGGGGTTTGGGCGGGTGAGGGGCCTTGCGGAATACAGCTGGTGCCCATCAGCCCTTGCTGGGAATTCAGACTCACTGGTGTAGTTGCTGTAAAAGCTGCCACCTCCAGGAAGACCACTCGGGGTGTTTGTGGTGGGGCTGGTGCAGACAGTGACATTTCCAGTGAGGTTTGGGCAGGGATGCGGGGCCTTGGGAGCGAGGCAGCAGGCGGGCAGGCGGGGATAGGTCCGTGCTCGGAGCCACATCTCCCCGCCGGCAGCATCCTGAAGCCCACCGAGAATTTGGGCTGAGTGGTGTGGCCCAGCGTGGGAGGCACCTGGCACCACACATTTCTCCGGTAGCTTCTTTGGCTGTGAAGTTTCCAGGTTAGGGGCTGATCACCACCACTTGGTCCGTGACCCTTTTTCTCCTGTCTTGAGAGGTCAGCGGAAAGGTTCCACGGAACTGCTCTCTCTTCAGCCCAGATGCTCACACCGAGCTTCCTGGTTGTCCTTCTCGTCGTGGCTGTGTTCAGGGTGTTCTTTCTGTGGGGCGTGTCTTCCTTGCTGGGCTGACAGCCCTGGGACAGCAGGGACGCCACACCCCGGGGCACACTGCTAGGGACCCTTGTGTAGTGAGGAGCCAAGAGCAGCTGCTATGGAAGGAAGGCGATGTTGACTGGGATTACCAGTACAGGTCCTGACAACTGGAAGGTCACAACTAGTATCCAGTGTGCCTGCCTGCCAGGATCCCTCTGCCCATCTTGAGGTGGTGATGATGCCACGTGTGAGGCCCCGTCCTGAACTCACCACCGTGTGGGTGTTTGTTTGCAGCTCGGCCTCAGAGACCCTGTTCCTCCTGCACAACGGGAAGCAGCAGGCCTGTCTCTTAGGACTGCTGTGAGTCACTGCGATGGCCCAGGAGCCTGCCACGTTCTGAGGTCGTGAGCACAGCACCCGTTGTTGTTACTGGGAGTTCTTAACCTGCGGGGGGCAGGGACTCCCTCTAAGGGCAGCACACTGAGTACTGGCAGCCTTATTGATCCAGTCCTGCGGCTAGCCCCGACTCTACCTGGGAAGCCACAGGCTTCATTCACAGCGACAGCCGAGAAGGTTTTATTTTTAAATGGCATCAGCAGGTAGGTAAGAGTCGATGACGCTGCCGGCAGGTGAGGGACCGGCTGTGGACTTCCATCCCTGGTTCCACCTGCCCTCCTGGGCCGGGGTCTCTGAGATCTTGGATGTGGGTTTTATCTCCTTGTTGTCAATACCTGGTGCTTTTATCTATCGTCAGTACCCTGTACTTTTACTTCTCTGCTATGCTGACTCCTGAGAACATCAGATTTAACACTGCATTTATTTTAAAAGCCACTTTTTCTTGGCAATCTGTATTTTTTAACACAAGACAATCTGATGTTAGCGCACTGGTGTTGGCAGCCTTTGATGAGGCAAACCCACCTTTTGCTGCCACGTTGCCTCAAGAACACGGGTCATCTGGTGATGCGGACACATTCCCGTTGGAGCTGGAGTGTGTCCCCCTTGCTGCTGTGAAGAAGCACAGTAAGACGTGATAAATGATACATTTTAATAGTTGTGTTTAAATGAAAGAATTTTTGGGTGAATTTTACCTCTGTTCTTAATCTTTCTGGAATGTGTCAAAAAATATTAGAAAAGAATACTGACTATTCACAAAGAAACACGGTGCGTGTATACCTGTGGTGCTTCCTAGATACGCCATCCGCTGTCTCAGCAGCTCCACCTTGGATCGCGGGGAAGCGAGGCAGCAGCTGGAAGCCTGGGGTCCTGCTGGTGCCGTCTCTGAAGCACCTCTGCCAGTCACGTGCGTGTCCTGCTGTCTGGCTGCGTGCGCGCTTCATGTACCTGCTCACCCTGAGGTGGTGCGGCTTCCATGTGGGCATCATGGGAAAAAAGTCAGAATTTACCAAACGGAGGCAGGCACAGCCTGGGGTGGAGTCAGCTCAGAGCAGTCCAGGCAGAGGAGACCACCTGCAGGCAGGAGTGTTGCAGTGTCTGGGGCTTTCTACTCCACTGGGTTGAAAGCCTTAGGGGGTGTCAGGTCCGTCTCTTTCTGTCTCAACTTGAGCACGGTGAGCTGAAAATGCACCCCTTGCTGACCCCCACTCCCTCCCCAGGTGAAGAAGGCCATTGGCCTCCCAGAATGTCAAGCTATTCAATTTAGGCAGTGACTTGGCACAGTGAAAGGCTGGGGTGGGAGGGAGGTAAACAAAACAAAATCAGTTTACTTCCCCTGAGGAAGTAAACTATTTTTGATTGAATTAATATATTTCAGTTCCCTGAAGTGGAAGACTCCAGCTCATACGGCCAGCTGTGTTTGAGGATTCAACTAAACTTTCTGCCAAAAAACCTCAGCTGAGAAATAAAACTAGAAGTGAGCAAAATGAAAACTTTTTAGGTTGTTTATGTACTTGTTCTTAGGTTATTAAAAAATAATCTAATTTTTAAACAGTGACAAGTGGCAGGGCTGCCTGACTATGCTGCCTGCTTGTTCCTGTGGGCTTTGGAAGGAGGCTCGGCTGCCTCTGCTGCTGCAGTCGGCTGGGATAGGCTCAGGCGACATCTATGTGAGCTCCTGTTGCTTTTTAGGGAGGGGACAGGTGGAAGGGCTTAGAGCAGCAACACCAGCCTTTGGCCTTGCCCTGCTGGGCCCCAGCAGGCACTGACACCTGTGTGCGCCACACCCATCACACACCTGTGCTTTGCCCTTGCCTCCCTCTGGGGCCTTAGCACAGTCCTGCAAGGCTGGCATTGCTGTGCCCATTTGGTAGATGCTGAGTGAGGTCTGAGAGTCCCGCTCTTGAACGCCTGGAATGAGTTTGTTCTGTTGCAGGTGGAATGACAAGTGATGATGGGGGACTGCAGGCTGAGGTGGGGAGGAAAGGCAGCCTTGATTCAGTTGTGGCTATGTATGCAGCATTTCCCAGGAATGAGGCAAAGTATCACAGGTGCAGAGAAGCTCACACAGACCACTAGGGACAGCCTGCTCAGGATGGGCAGGCTCGAGGCCAAGGCCATGTCCCGAGTCTGGGCAGGAAAGGGCTGTGCCTGCGCCAGGTCTGAGCCACTGTGAGAGTGTTGGGGCTCCCTTCTGGAAGGTGCCTCCCGCTACCATGACCTCTGGCATTTCCCTAGGGGGGTCCCCCTCTGGTGTGGGTTTTGGGGTCAGATGCTGAAGTTGGGATCTTTGCACCAAGGCAGACACCTGTTTGGCCCTGAGTTTGTTTTGAAGCTGCTGGGCCCTGATGGGGTTTGGTGCTGTGTGGTTCTGGGGCCTCTGTGTCAAGTCTGGGCCTCCCCTGGCCAGGTGGGTGGCATCCTTTGTAAGGTGTGCGGTGGCCCGAGTACTGTCTCAGGAGGCCGTGGCCTATGCCAACAACATGAGTGCAGTCTGGGCAACTCCCTACTCTGGGCCTCTCTCTACTGATCTGAGCTGTGCTCTGTAGGGTCCACTTGTGGGCCCAGCCTCAGCCTGGCCCGACTGCAGCATGTTCTATGAAGTACTCAAAACACGATCAGCTTGAAGGCGCACCCTTCCCAACCCTGGCCTGCTGCTGAGGTCGGGGTCTGGGGTGCTCTTGGTGGAGGAGATGCAGCTTTCAGGCCTGCATCCCAGCTCTGCACGCAGCCCCTGCCACCTCCCTCCCAAATGCCAGGAAGCCACTTTTGTCTCCCTCCATTCTATGTGAAAGCACCTTCCCAAAGCTTCTCTAGTGTTTCAGGATCTTGGCCCAGGGTGGTGCTTCCACTGGGACATGGTCCCCAGGGTTTGTAGGAGCCAGATTTGGGTCCTCTGCTGCCTCCCAACCCCAGATACCATGGCTGCTTCCTGTGCACCCACTGCCTAACAGCCACCCTCACAGGACACCCACAGGAGACGCCCGCGTGACAGCCACCCTCACAGGACACCCACAGGAGACGCCCGCGTGACAGCTGCACTGGCTCCTCCCATGGCTGAGCCCTGGGCCCGGGGAGTAGAAGGCATTGGAAGCAGAAGGGAGACCTGCCCTGGTAGCATGTACTGGGGTTCTGAAACGCCCTTCCCTTCACATGAGAAAAGTCAGGGGTGTGGTTGGGGCTGGGCCTTCTGAACTTCAGTTCTTGGATTTCTCATTTTTGTCACACGAGTGCCATCTATTCTGTAACATACTTAATACTCTTTAAAATTGATTAAAGAATTGCTTGCTGAGGAAGCTGGTGGGTGAGGACAGGGTTGGGGATGGGGGGAGGCCCTGTGAGGAGGGGCTTCAGGGCTGGAACTGCCGAACAGCCAGTGGAGGGGCCAAGCCTGGAGAGCGTGGGGCAACTCGTGTGGGAGGTGTTCTCGGGCAGGCTCACCTGCAGCCTGTTAAAGCATGTGCTTTCATAGAATCCTCTTGCAGATCCTGAGGTCCCTGTGTCACCAAGGGTCCAGCTCATCTGGCTGGCTCCTTGGTGCCCTGACCCATTGGGTCCTCTCACCTGTG